GTCCAAGCACAACAAACAAACTTCTCCCCAAACCACAAGCTATTACCGAACAATATAAATTCAAGTAATTGCTTCCAAATTCCAATTGGTCCGCCACTAGCTCCCTACCGCAAATTCCAAATTCCCAAATTCTGTTCTCAACAAATACACCAAATAATTTCAAAGCAATGCGATTTCCAATGTCCCCAAAAAATACTAATGGGAGCCTTGATATAAAAGTTGAGTGCCAACTTTTAATTCCCACCAATAATGTCGAGATTCCAAGTTCATTAGCAGACAAAGCTCCCAAAAAAATTCACACGCTGAATTCTGGAGACGGAGTCAACTCAATCACCAGTTCGAAACCAAACTTTCGATCGAGAGAAGAGCTGATCAGAACGGCCGGAGCGGACTAGCGCAAAGCATATTGCGCTAATTTGTATGCTGATTTCCCAAAACCGCATCCAACACCAATCCCAAAATCCGCAAAGACAAATTCAAATAGCCCAAAGATCAACCAGACTCTTATACCACTTGTCAGAACAGAAGCGTGCAAACGACAATCCAAACCAACACAAACGAACACAAATTTAACGTGGTTCACTAACACAATGCGTGCTAGCTAATCCACGGGCAGGGGAGAACAAATTTCACTAATTTTAGGAGAGTACATGTTACAAACCAAATTCCAAACGGACAAACCAAACAAACTAACCTGACTGACCTTACTACATACTAGGGTGATGAAGAGTATTTATAGAACTCTTCTCCTAATCCCAAACAGAAAACCAAACACTTTTTCCCAAACATACAAGGAAAAGGCCAAAACAAAGTCCAAACACAAACCCAAACAAAATAGGCCCAAAACACAAAACAAAACCAATTCAAATTCAAGTCATATTCTAACACATGGCAATGATTTGGTGGCTACATGTGATAATTGGTGTAGTGATATTTATGTACTTCCGCATTAGTTCATATATATTATCACTAGCTTATTACCCGGCCCGTTGGCCGGATTACTATATGTCACCCACTTGTGGAATGGGAGAGAAAGCAAGTGAGAGTGAAGGGATTGGGATTCCACTTGATTAGGATCGACCCACTAATCCGATTCTTCCCGACCCGCCCAAACCTAAAGGGTCAGAAAGAGTCAATAAGAAAATACGAACGGAGAGGATTAGTCATATATCTTGACTCTTCAGAAGTGTGACAAGATCAAGGTTGGGTGAGGGCAATTTTTAGCGCTAAGCAGAGTTCTGGGTTGAATAACTTTACTTAGGCCTAGAAATTGGTGATGTTGCAGACTGCAGTTTTTATTATACCATCATCAATCATCATTGAATTAGTCCTGGGCATCCCTCCCCGTTGTTGGTATGAATTCTAATGATGGCTTCATTCCTTGCACCAGCCATATAAGCGAGTTGTCATCTCGAGCATGATTTGCCTATGTACAAATGATACAATTAGACTATGAAACTGAATTCAAAGAAAAGGAAAAGAGAATTCTATCACATGCCAATAAATACACACATAATAGTTGAAGCTAAGTGAAAGTCATTACTCGCACATCAATTCTAAAAAATTACAGACTAAACAATGGCTAGAATGGCAATGAAACTACCAAGAATCATGGACGAAACAACTTGTCAAATTAAATAATCCTTATACTGAAACTACCTTCTAACTTGAAATAAGACATGATCACAGTTCATAGCTCTCTTCTCACTATGAATTGGTTGCAGCTCGTCCTTATCACTGCCTCCCAAGCTCAATTCAAACAGAATAGAGACTGTTATGTAAGATAACCATATCCTTACTGATCATAATTCCTTTCTTCACTCCAATTTTGTCGGAGAAAAGAGTTATCCCCCCTCTCCTGCATTTCCCTTTCCCCCTCTCTTCTCCCTCTTCTTCACAAACCGATCCCTAAACCAGCAACAACAACACAAAAATAGCCTTCGCCTCTACCATCTCCATCTACTGAACGCGTTGGTGGCAAGACAGGACTGCAGAAGCAAAATTTTTTAAAATCAAACTAAATTTTTTGAAGGAGACTCAACCACGAAAAAAGAGTAAAGCAACAATGCTAATAGTTCAGATGGTTGGTTTTGATGTTATACGTTACTTTTGTTCTGGTCTCCAGTATATCAACTGCAACAGAGATGTTTCCTCCAATCATCTTTAGTGCACGGTTTAGAAGCAATTCCTCCTATTTGTATCAAACGGAAACATTCATGGGTTCTTAACTCCCCTGTTAGTGTAAATGCAGCAACAGCAAAGAAGTTTGACAACACAGCAAGCACCCAGGCAAAATGATACAATGCAGTATGTGATATGTGTCTCGAAGGTTTTGAGTTACTAAAGTTCATGTTAAAAATAAACATGAATTAAAATGGATTATTCTATTAAGCAAACATCCCCTCTAATCATACAAAGATCAGATATCCAATTCACAAACAATTAAGCCATAAAAAATCATCACACATCCACCACCTTTGATTGCCTAAATTTGGGTTTTCGCAAAGTTATGGACTCTTAAGGGTAACGTTCATGGGTAGTCTGTTTCATAACTCTAGAGAGCACAGTAAGCAGCCACCAGCCAGACACAGTGCGGTAGGCGAATATGATTCTCAATTCACAATTTCTCACCACCGGAAAGAACAGACCATAATAAGCGTAGCGTTCATGGGTGGTCTGTTTAATAGCACTACTGCACAATTTGTTAAAAAAGAAAGAAAGGTATTTAGCATCATGACGGAACAACTTTTACAGGCCAACAACGACAACATGCTGCAACCACCAGAACTGGTATCACAACTCATAGGGAAAATCAAAGATTTACTCTCAAATTAAGTAGTTACAACATCGAGCAATCGTCAAGCACATACACCATCACAAAAGTCACGGAACCTGATTCGCAAAGCATTCAAACATTTGAGGATATTTCTGCAAAGGTACAACTTATATGTCTTTTTTCCAAGACATTTCCATCAACATGCTAATAAATTTGCAATGCATAAAATAAACGGGCAAAAACTTGAAATTCAGCCTGTTTGACCGACCCATGCCAAATCCTAATTATTCTTTAATTTTAAACTTTCTATTTGAAAATAAAAAATAGTGAAAGAAAAGAGATGACTGCAATTCGCCATTTGCACATCACTTATTCGGGAATAAAACCATAGAAATTCAAAAGGAACTGAAAATGTTTAGGATCGTTTTAATGTTTAAAATAACCAAATAGATCTTTCTGTTTAGTTTTTTACTAACAAATATCAAACGATTCCCTATAAAATACACTATAATTTGATCATTATGATATCAAATAATTATATAATATATATTTGAAATGATAAAAATTGGACTAATTGGGTTGGTTAAGGTTGAACCATTGAATAACTTTAAAATACATTATATTTTAGCCACTAAGATATAAAATAATAGCAAAATATATATTATGCTAGAGAAAATAACTTGTTTTAGAATGGCAAACCAATGATGTTCATTTGTTTTACTTGATGGACAAATCCCGTGTAGGTCAGACCCATTCAACTTTTTATTTTATGGTTAGCGGTTAGCCATTAGATACCATTCATTAGTTTATTGTTAAATTTTTTATTTTTAACAATAAAAAGTATTATTATTTTTGCCTTTTCATATATATTTTATCACCACGGAGAAATAAAAGGGCTTAAAGAAAAAAATTGACACTCTTGGTCCCGTTTAAATCCGCATGTGTACGTTAAGTTGGCCCGTTCCATAGAGGAAAGAGAAAAAAATTGACACTCCCTATTATCCCTTCCTACAAACGCTACTGGAGCAGGGAATTTGAAATAGGGAATAGTTTTTTCCTCTCGGCTATTATATGTTTTTAATTTAAAAAGATACAACAAATCTACTTAGTGTGATTGGTTATGATCCTTGCTTTTCTATAAAATGGTCATGGTTCGAATCCCAGTACGTGTCTTTTTTATTTTTAACAATAAAAAGGAGTATTATTTTTGCCTTTTCATATATATTTTATCACCACGGAGAAATAAAAGAGCTTAAAGAAAAAAATTGACACTCTTGGACCCGTTTAAATCCGCATGTGTACGGTAAGTTGGCCCGTTCCACAGAGGAAAGAGAAAAAAATTGACACTCCCTATTCTACCCTTCCTACAAACGCTCCTGGAGCAGGGAATTTGAAATAGGGGAAGAGTTTTTTCCTCCCGGCTATTATATGTTTTTAATTTAAAAAGATATAACAAATCTACTTAGTATGATTGGTTATGATCTTTGCTTTCCTATAAAATGGTCATGGTTCGAATCCCAGTATGTGTCTTTTTAATGAACAAAAAAAAAGTTATTGTGAAGACCAAAATGTCCTTCCTACTTTCACTCTCGTTGCAGGAAATTTGAAATGGGGAAGCTGTTTCCCCTTTGGCGTATTATATGTATAGTAGATTGAAGAAAAAACAGGTTAATTGCATGGTTGGTCACTGAGATTATAAAAACGTTCAAGTTTGGTCACTCGAAATATTTAAATCCATTGGTGGTACTTCAATTTACTGAAATAGTTCACGTTTGGTCAATCTTCGTCCAACTCCGCTAATTTTTGCTTACGTGACAGTCAACTCTAAAAGTTGATAGTTAAATGTCTGACGTGACAATTTATAAATAGTAAGTTTAATAAAATAAAATTTTTTAAAATTAGTATCTCATTTCCATCTCATTATCACTTTTATTTAAAATAAAATAAAAACCTAATTTCTTCTAATCCCAATACTTATACCCTGTCGGCAGCATTCCCTCACCGTCGCTGCCTTTAACCCTCCACCTCAAGCGCTTGACCGAACAAGATTATCCCTAGTCATAATATGGTCGAAGAAGATTTGCAGGTGCTCAGAAATTTTGGGAGCGAACGCTTGTTTATCTGAGTTGAGGATTAGGGGATTTGATTTTCTATCCACGGTTCTTTAGCTTGCAAAAGGGCATCTATCTAACTAAATCTTGGAGCTGGAAAGGGTGGGGTGAAAATGTTCTTGTCAATCAAGAATGTTGTATTTGTTCTTTTTTTCCGGCTGTTGTTGCGTTTGACCAAACAAGATTCCATTTTTGTTCTTCTACCAGATTTGACGAAGGAGCAGTTTCCCGTCCTAGAATCGCCCCGTCGGCTGCCCGATGGGGAAGTTTTCGCCGTAAGGCGGGTGATCGGCCGTGAACACGGGGTCGGGGAGGTAGTTGTTATTCCCAGTGTCGACTGTGGAGTCGCCGAAGATGATGACGGCGGTGAAGCTGGGAAGCTGCTGGTTCGGGGAACAGTAATAACCATTTCAATAAATCCCTAGCAGCGGTTGAGGTGGAGGGTTAAAGGAAGCCCAACAATAGATGGCAATTGGGGATTCAAAGAAATTAGCTTTTTTATGCATTTTAAATAAAAGTGATAATAGGTGAAAATGAGATGGCAATTTTAAAAAAATTAATTTATTATTTTTAAATTGTCACGTCACACATTTAACGGTTAACATTTAGAGTTGACCACCACGTAAGCAAAAGTTAACGGAGTTGGACGGAGAGTGACAAACGTGAACGGTTTCAGTAAACTGAAGTACCAATGAATTTAAATATTTTGAGTGACCAAACTTGAACGTTTTTTGTAATCTCATTGACCAACCATGCAATTTACCCAAGAAAAAACCCTCAATTTATCGTATTTTCAGTTGCCTTTAATTCTATTCATTTGTAGGAGTAGTCGAAACTAGAATCACGATTTTGTTACGTAGACATTTGTCTCGTTACAGCAGGCTTGCAAATTGGCCTTCATAATTTGAAACTAAATTAATTAATGGTTGGCATTAGGACTAATAATAATTACTATTATTATAAAAATACTCTTATATTCGATTAGGTGTAATGAAAAAATTTGTTGATGCATAGTCCTTTCGCCTTATAGTTAGATAGCCTATAAATGTCTCAATTATATTTACCCATGTTAATTAGTTCGGATTGGACAAATACCAGATAGCAGATACACGTAATGTCACAGACCATGCATTAATAAGAAAACATCATATTAGACACCTCACATTTTTGTTCGAATAATAGAGTACTCCTTACATGAAAGGAAGGCAAACCGTAAAATGACATGTGCCTAATTAGGTTAAAACCAACACCCTAGCCTTCTGTACGTACGTAGCTAGGGTGTTCGCTCCCATTGGCATTGATGGCTACCAGATTGCTACTGTTTTTTTCCACTCTATCACCATTCTCCGCCAATGCTATAAAAGGAAAGGAGAGTTCAGGATTGTTGATCACCATGAAAATTACGCTAGATTGAAAGGATGTCACATGTAAGCTACTCAATGACAATGAGCATGGCCAAGGATCTCTGCGCCTCTTCAACCTTCCTCGCTCTTCTTACCTTCGCTATCATCACACTCCCCCTCCTAACAATCTTAATTCAGAAGATGGCAACCCTGACTGGTAGCAGCAGCGACAAAAAACTTCTGTCGTCACTGCCAGCACCAGGGCCGTGGAGGCTCCCGATCATCGGGAACCTCCACCTACTCATCTCATCATCCGCCCTCCCCCACCAGCGCCTTCGCGATCTGGCTCGTAAACACGGACCAGACGTGATGCGCCTTCAGCTGGGGGAGGTACCACACATTGTGATCTCCTCCACGGAGGCAGCACGGCAGGTGATGAAGACCCACGACGTGGTCTTCGCGTCCAGGCCATCGCTCCTCGGGGCAGATATGGTTCTGCACGCGGGGAGCGACTTGACGTTCGTCCCCTACTCGGAGTCCTACAAGCGCCTCCGCAAAATCTGCGTGATGGAGGCGTTGGGGGCAAACCGGGTCCGCTACTTCCGTCCCATTCGAGAGGCGGAAGTAGCGGATCTTATCCGGAGTGTCTCCCGCAGCGTCGAGCTGGGGGAGGCCGTGGAGATCCGGAGAGAGGCATCATTGCTTTCGAGCCGGGTGATGGCTCGGACAGTGTTGGGAAAGCCGAGGGAGGTAGACGATGGGTTTCTGAAGCTGGCGGAGGATGTCTCGGAGGTCCTGGGAGGATTCAGGGTGTCGGATCTTTTCCCGTCGATGAAATTCCTCCCGGTGGTGACTGGTTTTAAGGCTAAACTGAGAAAGATGCATAGGGAGTTGGAGTTGATGCTTGATGAGATAATTAGTGAACACAAGGCGAGAAGAAGACGAACGGTAATGGAGGGAGGCACCGTATCGGTGGAAGAAGGTGGCGGCATTGACTGCTGGGAGGGCCTTGTTGATGTCCTACTCGATCATCATGAAAGTGGGAGTCACCAATGCAACGTCACCATGGAAAACATCAAAGGAGTGGCACTGGTAAGTTTCGAGAATCGATTCATTTCAATAATTTAAAATGTTGGAAGATCGAGGTTGAAATATGGACAATGTATGAGCTTTAAAGTTTGTTAAATCCCATTCTACGTTATGTTTAAATTAATAGTTAATTTTGTAGGCTTATTACTGGTATTTGAACATAACAACTATGAGTCAATAATGAATAATATAGGGTAAATGCCACATTCGGTCACTGAGATTACTAAATAGTGTCATGTTTAGTCACTAAAAAAATTTAATATCAATTTGGGTCACTCGAATGACTGAAACATGTCGCGTTTAGTCACTCTCCCGTTAGCCTCCGTCCAACTCCGGTCACTCGAATCAGTGAAGCATGCCACATTTAGTCACTCGAATTACTGAAACAAGTCACATTTAGTCACTCTCAAGTTAGTTTCCGTCCAACTCAATTAGTTTCCGTCCAACTCCATTAATGGAGTTGGACGGAAACTAACGGGAGAGTGACTAAATGTGACATGTTTCAGTAATTCGAGTGATCAAAATTGATATTAAATTTTTCTGGTGACTAAACATGACACGATTTTGTAATCTCAGTGACCAAATATGACATTTACCCGAATAATATTATATATCAAACGATCTCAACAATTTAAATTATTGGAAGAGTTTCAAAAAATGAAGTTAATTTCTATACCATACATAATTTATTCTCATAATCTACCTACTTTGGTTCTTAGGAGTTGTTTGTTGCTGGAGGCGAAACGTCAGCTGCAACAATAGAATGGACGATGGTTGAAATGATAAAAGACCAGAAAGTACTTCAAAAATCACAAGACGAAGTCAGGCAAGTGTATCGTGGAAAGCACAATGTAGTAGAATCGAGTCTTCATGAGCTCACATACTTAGACTGTGTCATCAAAGAAGTTCTAAGGTTACACCCCACTCTTCCTTTGCTCCTCCCAAGAGAAAACCAGGAGAAAGTTCAAATTTGTGGGTACGATATTCCGTCTAAAACCAAAGTTATAGTCAACGGGTGGGCAATCGGGAGAGATCCTGATCGTTGGGTGGATCCTGGGAAATTTTATCCAGAAAGATTTCTGGATAGTTCGATTGATTATAAAGGAAATGATTTTGAGTTAATCCCATTTGGAGCGGGAAGAAGAATGTGTCCTGGAATGCATAGTGCGGTGGCTGTGGTAAAGCTTACACTAGCAAATTTATTGTTTCATTTTGATTGGAAACTTCCTACCGGAATGGAGCCTGAAGATTTGGACATGTCGGAAGATTTTGGTGCTGCAATCAAAAGGAAATATGGTCTTTGCTTGTACCCGGTCGCACACAATGCCATGGCTTGATGATGATGAGTGTGTTTGATTCAACATATTTGTAAGAGCAAATGTTATTTGTATGTTACGTTTTATTATACACTATTAAGTATGTTGTTATGTATTTTGCATGCTTTTTGTATGTTGGATGAATAAGAGAAGTATAATTTGCTCAATTGTATAATTTTTCTTTGGCTAAATTACACGCTTGGTCACTCAAATTATACAAATCTTTCACGTATACCATTCTAATTACTTTTCTTTCTTGTTCGCCACTAACTTTACGAATCGTTTCACCGTTAGTCATCTGCCGTTACACTCCGTTAATTAAATTTGTCCTACGTGGCGGTCAAACATAAAACTTGACAGTTAACTACATGACGTGTAAATTAAAAAATTAAAAAAAATTTATTTATTTTTCCACCTCATTATTCCACTTACTTTGTCTATGTGGTTTATTATATTAATTATTTAATAAAGATTAATTAAATTAAAATTGACAAAAAAATATTAATTAAATTACAGATATTGATTATCAGCCCTCACAACAATTTCTTCCACTTTGGCGGAGAGACCCGAATGAGAGCAATAGCTGCAATGTTGTCGGTGGCGTTGGTTTGATGGGTGTATCAAATCACTTGCCCTCCATCTCCCAAGATCTGCGGCAGCCCAGATGGTCTTCCGGTCACCGGATCCAGAATAAAGCTCCGGCCGTCATGTGGCCTACAAAGATATAGGCTAGTCTAAAGTCGTTGCCAAGTTCAAGCTCATCTTCATCCATGGCTTGATAGGTAGAATAGGGAGTGTCAATTTTTTTCTTTTTTCTCTGTGGAACGGGCCAACTTACCGTACACATGCGGATTTAAACGGGTCCAGGAGTGTCAAATTTTTTCTTTAAGTCCTTTTATTTCTCTGTGGTGGTAAAATATATATGAAAAAACAAAAACAATACTCCTTTTTATTGCTAAAAAGAAAAAAAATTTAACAATAAACTAATGCATGGATTCTAATGGGCTAACCGCTAATAATAAAATAAAAGAGTTGAATGGGCCTGACATACACAGGATTTGCCCATCAAGTAAAACAAATAAACATCATGGGTTTGCCATTCTAAAACAAGCTACTTTCTCTAGCATAATATATATTATGCTATTATTTTATATCTTAGTGGCTAAAATATAATGTATTTTAAAGTTATTCAATGGTTCAACCTCGACCAACCCAATTAGTCCAATTTTTATCATTTCAAATATATATTATGTAATTATTTGATATCATAATGATTAAATTATAGTGTATATTTATAGTTTATAGGGAATAGTTTGGTATCTGTTAGTAAAAAACTAAACAGAAAGATCTATTCGGCTAATTTTAACATTAAAACGATCCTACACATTTTCAGTTTCCTTTCGAAATTCTATAGTTTTTTTCCCGAATCAGTGATGTGCAAATTGCGAATTGCAGTCATCTCTTTTTTTTTCATTATTTTTTATTTTCAAATAGAAAGTTTAAAAGTAAAGAATAATTAGAGTCTGGCATGGGTCGGTCAAACAGGCTGAATTTCAAGTTTTGGCCGTTTTGATCAAGTCTAATTTATAATTACATGGTTCCCTGATACCCGATAAAAATCTCAATCCAAACCAGTTTAGCAGGTGAGTCCGTGTTTACCACCATTTTCTAGGGATA